CTTTTTTTTTCATTCACACTTTCATTTCATTCATAAAACATCAAGTTGTTACATCTTTTAAAGATCAAAGATAACTCATGTTTCAATTTTTTCATTGATCCTTTTTGCTATATTCAATTTTTTTTTCGATAATTTTTTTGTATTGTTATACAATAGAAAAAAATAAATTACAGTGTTAGTACGTACTTACGACAACTTTAATAAAATATCCATTTTAAATATGCTAGTTAAGGAAGCTAGTTATTAAAAAAATATATACAACCTGACACGAGTACTATTAAATTATTCAAACTTTCGTGAGACATTATAATAAACTGATATAAAAACGGCAAAAACAGTCACGTATATTCGTCCGGTGCTGAGCGACGAGCCGCGTCCGCGCAATAATACCAGTACCACTCATCCTGATGAAGGGCCCCCGTTGGGCTCGAAACTAGTAGGTGCCGTCACCGGACGGATATACATGAGTGTTTAGCCGTTTTTATAACACGGGTATTTCTATTTATTTGAGTCATAGGATACAAAAAAAGACCAGAAGGAAAACAGAAAATTAGGTTTCATATAATATATATATTTCAAGGAAATGCATGATGCGAAGAACAACGGAATCGACCAATTTGAAAATTTCCAGCGATAGTTTGACGCAATGAAAACATTCCTTAAACGTAAATAATAATATCTTTGTTGCCACTCGCGTTTATAAATTATGGATTAAAGTACAGGTTTTAATATCTTACTAGTATTATAAATGCGAAAGCTTTGATGTTTGTTGGAAGGTATCTCCGAAACGGCTCAACGGATCTCGATGAAATTTTACATAGTCTGGAAGAACACATTCAATTTTTTTTTAATTCTGTACGGACAGAGTCACGGGCGACAACTAGTCTATATAATAAAGCGATAATCATTATTAAATAGACAATTAAAAGCCCCTATCTCAGTCGATTAAAGGTAGGTAAAATATTTTCTTACAAGATTCCTTAAAAAAATTCTTACAAATGTATTAGGATTTTATCTTTTTTTTATAAAATAAAAATCCATATCATCTTATTTATATCTCATATCGATGTAATAACATTGTTTTTTTTTATCTGTTCCAATGATAAATGGCGGGAAACGTTGACATATCTGAGCGATAGTGGCGCCACCTGCCACCGGCGAACCGGTCACGATGACTTAATAAATTTCCGATTGCAGTTCCATAGAGTGGTTTTCCGCAAATGTCTTCCGTTGTGAATTGTTATTACATTTTATATTACGTCAAGTCTACGATTATAAATGTTTAGGTCAGTTATTGAAATATGAACTTACTAGCTGTAGCCCGAGACTCTGTCCGCGCGAATTTAAAAAAAATCTTAATTGGTAGTTAGTAGTCGATGTATTCTTCCAGATTATGTTCTATAGCTTGCAGCCGTTCTGGAGATACCTTTTAATTCTAAAGCAAATCCATCCATCGTTATTAAAATATGTACATACTTGCTTTCGCCCGCGACTCCGATTGCGCGGAATTAAAAAACCCATAATTAGTAGTTAGTAGTCGATATATTCTTCCAGACTATGTTCTACACTTATGCGAGATTTCAGAGAGCTTGCAACCATCTGGAAATATCTTCTAATTGTAACAAACAACTAAACATTCTGGTTTATAATATTAGTAAGATTTATGTTTACAAATCCTCAGTTTAGTTCTAGTTACTGCAGACCGTTTTCCGTTACCTTGAGTCATTTGCTCAATGACCTAACTAATAATTGCAGACATTTCTTCCACACTGCAACAATTAACATTCTAAGCGCATAATTTATTGTACGATATTATGATAAAATAATATAAACATCTTGTGCAATATAATAAAAGGAAAATTGTCTATTTATAGAAAAAAAACTTCGTTGCAGAATTAGTCATTGCTTATTCCTAAACTTATTCGACCACTTCCAATAATTTACCAATCTTACTAATATTATAAACTAGCTGTCGCCCGCGACTCCGTCCGCGTGGATATATAAAAAAACTTAATTAGTGTAGCCAACCCATCCATCTAAACATTCGCATTTATTATATTAGTAAGTTAAATAAAAAGCAGCACTTCAATGCATAAATTCGAAATAAATAAATAGTATCCTATGTCCGTCTCCTGGCTCTAAGCTCACCTCCTCACCAATTTTCAGCCATATCGGTAAAGACGTTCTTGAGTTATAAATAGTGTAACTAACACGATTTTCTTTTATATATATAAATGCAACAGTTTAGATGTTTGTTAGAATGTATCTCTAGAACGACTGAACGGATCTCGATGATTTTTTTTAAAATATTTTAGGAACATAGTCTGGAAGACCACATAGGCTCCTAATTATATTTCTTTAATTCCGCTCGGACGGAGTCACGGGCGACAGCTAGTTTTAGTATAAAATAAAATATATAAGGATGAATCATTGAGTGATAAAGATTTCCTTAAAATTTGTTAAAGCGCATTTACACTTCTTTTTGTGGTCTTCGTGACCGGATTTTAGAAAATTGATAACGTCCTGTCTGTGCAAATGGTAGTCTGTGACTAATCAGTTTTTTTTATTTATAAAAAAAATGAAGGAAACCGCTATATACGGAAATACGATTCATGATGTTAAGATTATTGTTACAAATTAAATTAAAAATTATGAATAAGAGGAAGGTTGGGAGTGTAAAGACCCCTAGACCACAGTTTCGAGTTTTGAGAAGGAATTCTTTGGTCAAATTACTCACCGGTAGAAAACTGGCTGTTTTTTGATTGCAACATAATTAATCATAGCTTTACTAAGAAAATAGTAAACTGTTTAGTTTTTTCCGCCATGAAATTAATCTTTTATTGTCTAGTCATTGTCAATTATCTTGTCTATGGCGCGTTACTGTGACAGATTATATTTGCATTAGGATTAACTGGAATAGTCTTTGTTATTAAAGAGACGGGACATGGTAACGCGCTCATTTCGCACCGTAAAATTCAACAATAAGTCCTAACTTCTTAGCTTGTGTACTCATTCTGAGTTAGTATATCATTAAAGAAGTTTCTATATACAGACGTGGTATTGTCATATGTACATCAACCCTCGCGTATATACAACTCGGGGTCTTTGCCTAGTCCGTTTCTCTATAGTCAAAGTAAATAGTCATGTCGTTTCAATGAACTGTTGCGTCATTTTATTGAAAAATACTTGAGAATGTAGAACACCCTTTGATGTGATCCGACTTATGGAGGAAAATAGGGACCTTTTAATTTATTGCTTTTTGTGTTGAAGTTTGTCAAGTGTAAAAACGGATCTAACTACCGTTTTGTCTTACCGCAAATTACCCGGTATGATATCATTCAAGTGAATGCACTTTCAAGGTTCACTAATTAATTAAATGTTACTGAATTTAATAATTTCCGATCCGAATTTATATCCGTAAAAATAATTAAGTATTAACTTACAATGTTGAGTTACGCGCAATTTTTTTAATAAGCTAAACCCACTCAAAATAAAGTGTTTCCAATTTACAGTAAAGCCCCCATAAACCCGGAACGCGTAGTCAAAAAGTAGTGACAAATACATTTTCAATTAAAAATGCAAAAAAAAAAATGTTAGGCCACAAACTGTCTCTGTCGTCCTTAGGTCACGATAACAAAGTGTCATTACAATCTGTCACTCGATTTTGGTACAACAACATACAAAGATAATTAAAAAAAAATAATATCGTTTTTTAACAAGAAAGTATTATTTAAAAAATGGAACCAGTGTAACGAAACGTGTCGAATATCGAATTGTTCCAAAATTAAAATTAATCAAGTCGGTTGTAAAGAATACCGCGAAAAAGCAATTCGTTAAAATTCGGACAATCATTCACGCTGAAGTTTTATATAAGTCGATTATTAATACTTTATAAGGCTTCATCAATTAATAATTCCTTCATAAAATTGACTGTTTTTATTTTTATTACGTCGAAAATTTTAACGGGGTCATAACTGTTGCCAGTACAAAAATCTGAACACTTTGTTAAAATTAATTAATACAACTGGCTTCTAGATTATTTTGTTTTTTAACTTATAAGTACATTTATAGTTAAAACTTCACATAATCAATATAAATCTGTAGATTAGTAGGTACATAGAGCCGTTACAATGATTTTATTAAATTAAAAAAAAATTGCTTTCTCGTAAATAAATACACACACGTAATAACATTAAATACTTATATCCTATTTTACACTATGATTACAGTTTTGCTGATTTCATCCAAATATCATCTTATCAATTTATACTACTAGCCGTAGCCCGCGACTCTGTCCGCGTAAAAGTAAAATAACTCCATTAGTAGCCTGCGTGTTCTAGGTTATGTTCTACATCTGTGCCAAATTTCATCGAGATCCATACAGCCGTTCTGGAAATACCTTCTAATTTTCGCATTTATAATATAAGTAAGATGTAAGATAGATCTTGTTTATACGAGTAGCGAAACAAATGTGACTATGTTTTATTTCCCCACATAATTTACCACTTACGTCTTTAAGAATAATAATCGTCATATTTTAGCCAATTATTCGTTCGTTATATTTTACAGAAATACACAATGAATTGTACACATTTTAACTTTCCTTATGAATCAATTTATATGTTCGTAAAAACCGCATGAAAAACCTTATTGTATTTTTTGAGTGTATCCCGTTCATACAGATAAGTCGAGCGAATTTTGTTTATAATAACCAAAAATTTGATTTTTTGACCAAGCTATTGTGATATAAAATTTCGTAAGAAATTAATTCATTCATATTTTTCGTGTAATCAATACATTTAGAATACACAATAAACTGCCAATAATGAATTTAAAATTAAAAAAGTTTTCTAGAATAAAAACTTAAACTTTTAGTTTTAATAAAAGCGCCATCTACATGTGCATAAACGTACTACGATGACATTGACTTTTTCGAGTTGTTTCAAGAAGCAGCCGATAGGTGTACAATAAATCAAAGTTATTATTGTTACAAAGTTATCAGCTGATACAACTTATTAAAGACAAAATATAATTTTATTAATCACGTCGTAAATAAAAACATTACTTTATATAAACCGGTTATTGAATGCACAAGTTCAGTGATGCTCTTGAATTTGCAATGAATATACTCAAATATAAATGTGAAGTGATAGTTTTGTTACAATTCTAACCTATAAGAAGAAAACAAATCGCGTATTAGGTATGTATAGTATGTAATTATTACTTGCAAGTTGTTTTTAGATTTATATTTGAATGATGAAATTGGTATTTATCTCTTCTAGAAATTTCATGTCTGATTTCAAATTTCATCTATAATCTTTGACCTTTGACTGTTTAGAAACTTAGCTGTCTGGTTTTAACTTCTATTATAATTATGTTTACACCAGTTACTACCAGTTTTTAATACGTTATCGATAATCAGGGTCACTGCTTGGATTATATACATTATGCCACATTACTGTTCATCCTTATTTATTTTTAATCTTATTCGTAATTTTTTTTCTAAAAACGCATATGTTTTGACATTTTCAAAATTTCAGAACTGATATTTATAAGTACAAAGGAAGTGCAACAGAAGAGAACTTAATTTCACTTTGTTTGAAACGTTTATATTTTAATTCTTACCTTGACCGACGCCTCATGAGTGTTATTCGTATTTTACACGAACTTGTAAGATTTCAAACAACATATTAACACAAATAAACTAACCTGAATGTTAATTAAGGTATAATATGACACCCCACTTTGCACTAATGACTTCTAAAATGCACTCACCTAAAACGTTATCGCATCAAGCAAATGTAACTGTGCGACTGATTCAACGTCGCAGTCGCAGCCGGCGAAAGTGTTTTCTTTTTCTTCACACTCGCCAGACGTTGAAACTTAGGCATGTCCGTTGCAAGGCACGGCAAAACGACAATTCTGCCTTGATTCTATACGATTTTTTTGCACTTTAAATCCTCAACACTGCATCCGATACACGATTTAACAGTTAAGCAACGGTAGTAGACGGTTTGTCATGATCGTTCGTTAACGCGGTCGCATCGTTCGTGTGTTAGTCGATAGTGTTAGCTAACGGGTGCCTCGTGAAACAAAACCCACGCTAGGATGTAGACAATAATGTTACGTGATCGTGGACACGAAAGCGGAAGCGCGAATCGAGTTGGATATACCGTTTTCTGGAAATTATAGTCTTACGTGGGCATAGAGGAGCGCCAGAAACGGGCTCGTAGCATTGACTGGACTGCGCTTCGGTCGTGCAGGATGCGACCCATTAGGCAAAAGAGCGTCCATTATTGTATTGTCGTGGGCTTACACTTGTGTCTCCTTATGGACCGCTAAACGTGTGAGAGACATTTTGGAGGTTATCAGGGCTTCGGGAATAAATTTAAATCGACTCAATATTTTTAGCCCAATTGTCATAAGATTTTCCCGCCAAATTTGAGTGAAAGTTGTGTCGTTATTGCCGTAACAGCCATCCATTGGTACGGACGAAACAAAAGCCCGCAGCGAAGGGAATTATGGAGTCACGGGACCGGATCCCGGATTACTCACGCTCGTTTGTTCAATTGGATCCGTTGAACATCTCCGAAGCTTTAAAACAGACCGTTTCCGTTTCACACAGGAACAGTTTGGAATGAACGCTAACATTAAATTCAACTTACTTATACACAAAATGAACTAAAATATAAACCAATGCAATGTGGAACTCCTAATGGTATACGAAATAGAATCTTTATGAAGGCAAAATGTTCCTCCATATTGTATTTCAGTGTAATTTCGAAATAAAATAACCAGTTATAACAGGTTGGTACCGTAAGTGTGTTTGCAACCATTTATTTGTGTGTATCTGACATATGGTTTGATTGCACGCCCGAATTCGACCAAGGATTTACCGCAATAAGCATTGAGGTCATCGAATTGGCTGCAAATAAATAAATATGTACTGTGTTTTAGTTTATATGTGTCAATATATTATAATTACACATACAGAAGTAATTTTAAAAAGTAAAAAGTTAAAAAAAAAACGTATTGAATAGAACCAACACCGCGTCGGTTATAAGTTTTTCATGACGTGTAAATAAACGAAAAGTGAATGGAAAAGCGCTAATATTATAACCCATAATTATAACGGTTACACATGTTCGGGGCGCGGCTGTCACACCATCATTTCCCGCCAATCGCGAGACAGCATTTGTCATAGAGTAGATGGCGATCTACTCTATGACCTTGTGTTTAAAAAAAAGAAATATGAAGTTTGTGGCTCGTCACCCTACTCGTCCTGTATAATTCACGATAATAAATAATATAAGACCACCACCACAAAAATAATATATTTCACGACTCTGAAAAGATGTATAGAGAATTGTAAAAATTTAATACTTTCTTTTGTCATTTCGTTGAATCTGGCAGATCGTATTCTTACTCTTTTTAGATAAATAAAATTCAGAATCAAATAAGTGTATTGACCGACTCTGAACTGTGCCGTCCACAAGGCGTAGTATTAACATACTGATAACAACAACTTATTTACTATTAACTTCTTGCTCGAATGGCAAATTCCGAGCAATAAACGTGTAATGATTCATCAAAATAAAACATTTGATAACCGCACTGTCCACTTATATTTTCGCGGTTATTGGCACAGACCAATAATAAAAATAATGACAGTTCATATTAAGCGATCGTTTTATGTTTGTATATTTCAAATAAAGAATGTCTTATCATTTTTTAAATTTAAAATTAGAATGTAATCGTATCGTTCGATTACTGGCCACAATAATTTTAGTAGAATTCTTGCTAGAAGAATTTATCTGAAGATATTCCTAACCTTTACCTATCAGATAGTTAGTGATAAAACTAGGACAGCTGTGAATCTTATTTACTAATCATTATCGCGTAGTTAATTAAATCATTTCTAAACTGAAACCAGTTCATATCTGTATGACCTAGATCTTTAACTTTAATTTACATTGTAATTACAAAAATAAAACAATCATATTAACTCGTGCCAATTAATTGGTTCTACTAATTACAAAATCAAATGGACAGACAAAGATTAAAACTTCAATGAATTATGAAGAAGCTTAAATAAGAATTTAATTATTTAATGTCAGTTTTCACTGCTAAAATACAGTTATAAAAACATTAGGCATTGATATCTGTTTTACAAAGAGTAAAAGAAATTAGGATGTTTTCGTGAAAACCGACGGTTGCTTTTCTGTTTAGTAGAACGAGAGTTTGGTTGAGAATAAGAAAAGCAAAAAAAAAGAACGATTGTGTCTCCTATTAATATAAACGACCGTTTTATCTTTATTGCTATACATAAATGAAGTTCGTCAGTCTCTTGATAATATTTCGTTATGGTACCGAATAATGATTAAAAATATAAACATGCAATGTAATGGGGAAACAATTGGGTTAACGACCTAGGTCAATATTCTTACGTTTGTGATAAAGTTGACAGGTTAACAACACCTTTTATATTGAAATTAATGTACGTATAACGCTATAAGTGGCGTTTTTTTAATAATTATAAACAGTGTTAATTCTTAATTAATTAAGTATTTGGTTTTTAAAAATCCTCTTTATAAAATAATTTCAAGCGTCGTGTATATTATTAACGGACTATTGTGAGTTTTATGCGTATTAAATATTATTTTGATTGAAAATATGATGAATAAATTGTTAACAATATATTGAGCTACATTTTTGAACCGAATAATCAACCTTCGATAGCTCAGTTGGTAGAGCGGTGGACTGTAGCGGTAAATCAAAGACATCCATAGGTCGCTGGTTCAAATCCGGCTCGAAGGAGACTATAATGTTTTTGGTTCATTTTGTGACGTTTATAAAATGCAATGTGAAATAAATTTTTGACAAGGCTTAGTAAAATATTTTTGAATTTTGTATAAAATAAATCATTAGTAACAAAAAATAAAAAGATCAAGCTGTTTCCGCCCGGGATCGAACCGGGGGCCTTGTGCGTGTGAAGCACACGTGATAACCGCTACACTACGGAAACTTATTGGTTAATATTGAAATTAAAAATTAGATTTTTGAAAATTATGTTCAAAATTATTTGAAAATCGAATGATTTTTTTTAACAAACGTACCTTGTTTGATGTGATGTGCAGTGTGAATGTAGGAAGTGGTGCTGTGAACTGAGTCACTGGAAGAGTTCGGTTGATTCGAAATAGCTTGCTCTTTTTATACTAGAACAAATTGCAGCCATCGACCACCCGCTGAATATACTTCATTACTTTCATTTCAAAGGGTGTGTTTATGTGCCGCAAATTTGTTATACATTTTGCGCCATCTTTTTATGACCAAAACGACTTTCGTAATTTCAGCATCGTATAGCGTACATTACTGCATTTATTAGAAGTCAATCACTGAATTGTGAACAGAACACGCAATGTAAATCAAAAATATAATGAAGTGTTTGTGCTCATCGTTGTAATACATTGTGAGAAGATTAGAACGTCATAGTTGAGATTATAATGTTGGTAATAGATATATTCAATTCAAATGTTCATATTTGGTTTTAGAATGAGTTCAGAATTCAAACAACCCTTTATTTCAGCGGTTGAAGTAACTAGCTTTTAGTAATGAGGTCCAGAGTTTCAGGCCGGTTAGAAAATCATAATGTCATTAGAATTAACTACGTGGAGATATCTTTTAAAATAAAGTCAACTGTCAAAAAAATGATTAGTTTTCTAACATAGCTAAAGAAATAAAGTGGTACTCATCATTTGCCAACTCTTGAAACTGAAATAAATAATTTCCGAATCTAATCACGTCTCTGTCCGAATATTGTCATCTCTGTCAGTTCGAGGAGATTGTAAGGGACGGCAATATTACAAAAATTGTTGAAGTCTTAAAATAGGCCATTGCTTTGAAAGGACAAACTTTGCGTTGTTCTATTAAACTTGCCTGTTGAAGTTCTTGACCGAATTATCGTTCGAATCCTCACCACCGCTACCAACTGTATAATCAGCGCCAAAATGGCGAAAATCAAATAAGCACAAAATACCGCAGTTTATAGCCTGTCCATGAATCCAGTGATTGTTGGGTACTATAAACGAATGTATCCTAAAAATGACTGTTTGATAGCATCTCAACACAAGATTAACTTCCTTGTTTGGCTCAATTGTGCAAAAAATGCTGCGTATGCGATTACTAATCTCAAACACAACTGCTTTAATTAATAACTAGCTTGTAGTACCTGGCATCGCTTGGAAATATTTTTTTTAATTTGATTTTTCAAAATACATTTTTTTTAATTTGACTCTACTTTCTTTTTTCTTCTTTTAATAAATATTTTTATTATCTGTTCCAGTCCCAAAAATGGCGGTCGAAGGTGTGATGGTCTCTTACAATTATTCTGAAGACGGGGAACTGGCTAACATATTGACCGTAGCTGCATCTGGAATTAAATTTTCTAAGCGCTGGGTTCTGACCCACGGGTCTATACTCTCACCTCTTAAAGAAGCTAATATTATAAAGAATGCTAGAGGAAAGCCCATCTTGAATGAGGAGTTTTACGACAAATTGCCAGAAATATATGTCACATGTGAAAAGAAACAATCCAAAGTGCCTAATGTTTACGAAGGAGTGGAGAGACTTAGTAGAGAAAGGAATTTAGACAACGATGTTGACTTTGAACACAGCTGTTACCAGATTAGAGTTCTTACTGGCAGGTAAGTTTGTTTTATTTTAAAACAGCCTACCACGAATCTACAGCGTCCCGTAGTCAGCGTATATTAAATCAACATCTCATACTAACTTTGGCATAATTTACGATGACGATACCAAATGGCTTGACGCAAATTCTCGGTAGGCCCACAGATGCTTGCTTGATGCTAGATTTAATTTACATTCAATAAAAGTCCCCGGTGTTAAAAGAACTCTACCCCTTTCCTCTATCTTACTAATATTATGACTATTGATCTCGATAAAATTTGACATAGATGTAGAACATAATCTGAAAAAGCACATAGGCTACTAAGTTCTTTTTTAATTCCTCGCAAATCTGTTAGGATCTGTCACGTGTGGCAGTGCCCAGTACTGGACCGGTGTGTGGACGACGTTCTCTACAGCTGGACTGTGGGACATCGTGACGGCGACCTCGAGCGTCAGACTCCTCTCGGCAAAGCACTGCTTTCGGTATTTGTGCTTATAGATCTGGAGAGCGACATCCAAGGTCAGTAGACTGTACTTGACTTAGTATGTGGCTTGTTTTTCCTGACGCTAATGTGGTACAAACTAGTGTAAAGACAGAAAAGGATATTATCTGTAGAGTACAGATCCTTTTCTTTAATATCCAATTACATTAAGGTAAAATAAAAAAAGAGAACATTTCAAAACATACTTTTAATCATTGTTTTAATTACATTTTTGCTGCTTCGTTCCGCAACTGTGACGAAGTTCTGCAAAAAAAAAATGGACGTATGTAACCAAAAACACATCGGAGCAAATTCATCATCAGCTATACGTCCCCACCGAGGGGCTCGGAGCCTACCCTAAGTTAAGGGTGATTAGACCATAGTCAACCACGCTGGCCCAGTGCGGGTTGGTTGACTTCACACATATCTTTGAATTTCTTCTCATATATGTGCAGGTAGCCATCACGATGTTTTCCTTCACCGTAAGATTGACGGATAAATGTACATATGTTAATCGAAAAACACATTGGTACAAGGCGGGATTCGAACCCAGGACCTGCAGATTGCAAGTCAAGTGCTTCTCCCCTGAGCTACGACGCTCAACGCGGAGCAAATTACTTCCACACAATACAAACAACAATTGTAAACTATTGTGACATTAACCGTGGGTTTCTGAGACAGAAATCCCCTTTGAAAACATATTGATATCTATGTTTGCCAATGATAATGACAGGGATGACGATACGTTTTATACAGATTTTGATTAAAAAAAACTACGATAACCTAAACAACCAATGAGAGCGGCTCTTAGTGTAGAATTAGTAAAATAGACCGTTTAAGTAACTATAAAAAATTTCAGTGCGAATCTTACCTTCAAGAGGATCCTTTTTCAAGGTGTAGTCATGTCTCCAAGCAGTTATAGAGCCCATGTGTGACTGTATGGTAGGGAAGAGCGTGTAATCATGGATGACGGATTCTTTCTTAATCATCCCAAAGACCCCGAGAGCCAGACCGCCGAGAAGAATGGCGTGCTTGGAGCGAAGATACGCTGCTAAGATAGGCCCACACGCAAAGCCTCCTGTCGATGTATTATATCTTATTTATAACTAATCTTACTATAATAATATTATAAATGCGAATGTTTAGATGGATGGACCGATGGATGTATGTTTGTTTGTCGTTATCTCCGGAACGGCTGAAAGAATTTTGATAAAATTTGGCATACATATAGAACATAGTCTGGAGGAACACATAGGCTACTAATTATATATTTTTTAATACCGCGCAGACGGAGTCGCGGGTGACAGCTAGTTCTGATACAAATGATGTAGATTTGCTTTAGTGTAGACGAAAGTAGGCTTACACTACGACGACAGAAGACAACATTCATAATATTAAAAGTATAGATTTTCAGTTGTTGGCAGATATGTAAAATGTATAGCTTTGAATTAATTTCGTCTGTTACGAGAAATCTATACCAAGAACATTTTATTCGTAGCTTCTAGAACATACCAAGGAAGTAGTTATAGGAGTCATCCCTTTGCCTTGCTTGTAGCGCTGCGTTTGACACCACTGTGAAGGTCGCGCCCATCAGCGCTAGTGGCACCACATGTGTAGCATACCTAATTCAACAAACTAAATAAGTAAACCGATGTTAAAGTAAGCACGGACTACGACCGACGACAATATTTCATTGGATTTTTGAGTAGAAGCATGGTCTTAAAATTTGAGACGCTGTTAAAGTTTACGTGTTTCTCAAAATATTTGATACACAACTTTCTTTGACGATTTTGTCAATTTTGAGATGTTTAAAGAATACCTTTTTAACACTGGAACGAAGCCGATTGCGTGCGAAAACATTAGTACGTCAAATGTAGCGAAAATCATACCAGCTATTGTCCCATACCGACTCGTTACTAGAATCTAAAACATAAACATATCTACAAATAGTTAACCCAAAACTTTGTATCCCTTTTTAAGGAGAAATTGTGCAAAGGGATAGTTATAAAATTTGACACTGTAAATATTAAAGTAATTTAAATTATGTTCTCTTGTTATCTCTAATTTACCTTCTTTCCTACATCGCATCCATCAGGCGTATCGTAATATCTGTAATAATTACGCCAAGGTTTTTCTTCGCAGCCGCAAGACATTTTGCGAACTGCCAAATTTGACAATGAAGTGAAATGTCACTTTTTTTAAATTCATTGTCAAATTTTGTAGTTATATTCAGCCAGTGCCATTGCATATGTAAATAAAGTTTTGACAATGCTTACTTATACCGTCTATTCTATTATCATGTCACTTAATCTACACTGAGGGACTCCCTCAACTACTATAAAGTCTGAGCGCAGCAGTAAATCTTCTTTTGCATTATCTTACCGTTAAGAAAAAGAAGAAGAAAAAACATAGCCGAGAATCCAACACAAATCTCATTCAAAATAAGGTGAAAAGGGAGAACCAGGAAAGAATGTCGGTAACGAATTTGCGATTCCTCTGGTTTTGGGGATGTACATGATCTGATGACTTAAATTAGACGACCTGCAGTTCATGTCCCTTCTAAAAATATAGAGTTAAACTTTGAGTCAATGTTGCCAGGTTTGAAAACCCTGCGGCCGCTATCGGAGTTGTTGGACATGGTGCGGCCGCCGCCGGAACGCGGCGCTCTCATTGAAGTCCAATCTACGCCTTTCGGATGCGAGGTATTTGTGGAAGTAGAATTTACGTCAATATCATCGTCAATTTCCCCTACCCACTGATTTGTATAGAAATTACTGAATAGGTTTTACTTTGTTCAGACTTTTTTTACCATCAGCAACAAAACGGCATGACCCATGTTTAGATGCCAGTGCCATTGCCGAAATACATGACATAAACATAGTGTTATCTCTTTCGTGGTATTTGAACATCCCATTTGTAAAAGTGAGATAACGATATGTTTGATTATAGGTGTTTTGTCAGTGGAAACCTTTTACTTTTTTGAGAAAGCGTTTGTGTGCAGGTGTTCCTTAACGCGGTGACGCGGGGCTCGGTGTGCGGCGTGGTGGGGCGAAGACCCTCCCTGTTGCTCACTGACGCCGCTACCGCACTCGGCTCCGAGGGCGGGCCTGTCTTCACTGAAGGTCCCACGTATGTCAAGAACTCCACCTTTACATATTACCAAACCAAAATGATATAGATATTACCTACTATCACAGTTAACGAGCAAGAATTCGAAGAAGAACGAGCAAACGAAAGGCGGGAAAGTGATCAGCGACGTCCAATATGATGTAACGAGTCAAATTTATAGTTCATGTTGACAAATTCATCTGTCCTGTACGCTCACTTGACGCTCATGGTGTTCCTTCATTTGTAAAAGGTTGAACGTCGTGCGGAGAATTCGCTAACGATGAGTCCAATGACCTTTATACACCTTTAAATGTTCTTTGTTGTTTCGTGGTGGTATACAGGAGCGAGCTGGTGGGCGCGGTGGTGTGCAGCGTGTCGTGGTGGCGCGGCGAGTGGGTGGGGCTGACGCTGGCGGCGCCGCTCCGCGCTGTGCTGGCCGCCAAGCTGCGTGTGCCCCCCGCACCGCCTGCACACGTGCCACGGTCCCCCACATCACACTACACAAGCACGCTGGGTATGTTACAAAGACAACATAAAACGAACATATGAACACTATCAGAGAAAGGTAACAGAAGTATGAGACGGTGTTAAACGTGTTGTGCAGATCGCATCGACCGCACGACGGTGTTGGTGCGGTGCGGCGCGGCGTGGGGCGCGGGCGTCTACCTCGGCGGCGGACACGTCCTCACCTGCGCTCACGTCGTTAAAAATGTACGAATACATTTTCAAGGACAAATTACGTAGATGTTACAAAAAAGAGATGAAAGATATAGAAAATAAGGTGAAGGAAAGAGAGAGAAACACTAAGTTTATTTTCCAGCACACGATATACAAAGTGTCGCTGTACTGTCAAGGCACGCGGGAGACGGCGATAGTGAGGTACAAGACGGCGGACGACAAGGCGTACGACCTCGCGCTGCTCTACACCAACCCCCAGCACTGGACACATCTGCTGCCCGCTGTATTTGCCGACCTTCCGGCAGAGAAGGGTAATGACATCTGTCCCTTTTTAGTGGCACGATCGGCTATAAAAATTAAAGGTCACGTAAAAATAGCCGGCTAAGCATCATCTAATCCCAGTCCCATTTAAATGCCTCCCTAAAGCAAACAGTAGCAACTACCTTCTTCTTTCTTATAAGGAAAGGATGGGATTTGACGAGGGAGAGGACATAGTAATGGGAAATATTTTCTTTCTGTGCATCTCATTCGTCGATTAAAAGCAACGCATCTACAATTGCGCGTGTCTATGGGCAACGGTCGACTCTTTTGTTACCTTATAATATTAAAAAAAAACATTCACTTAGTGAGTTAAGTGATATTGTGAGTGTTATTTAAGGTGAGTCAGTGGTGGCGGCTGGGTACCCGTACTTCAGTGAGGACAACTTGTCCTCTCTGCGGCCAACAGTCACCAGCGGACATGTCAACAACGCCGCGCCCTCCATGCTGCAGACATCCTGCTGCGTACAATCAGGATTCAGGTCTCTTAATACTTCTATTGCTATTTTTCGTTTATTGTATAATCTAGTCAGTCATTCCTAACTTAGGGTAGATTGTAGCTTCTCAGTGGGGACTATAGAGCTGATGATGAATCCCTTCAAATGATCATAAACTCTTTTAGCACATCTCCGCAGCGGAATATAAGAAGTGGTACAATTGTATAAATTCCACTACGATCATATGTAAATTGGCTGCCGGAATTTTCTCTTATTTTGTATTGAAGTGAGAGAGCAAATCTCTATCTATCTCTTACTATATTGATAGCTACATCTATGATAAAGGCATCAATTTTATTTTGTATACATAATTGAAAATTATTCTTAAACACGTTAAGTTGAAACCTTATTTTGCAAATATAACCTAGCTGTCGCCCGCGACTCCGTCCGTGCGGATTTAAAAAGAAACTTCAATAAACATCCATGCATCTAAACATTCGCATTTATAATATTAGCATGATGTGAATGTTTCGATAAATAGATGTTTATTATAAAGCATCTTCAGAATGGCTTCATGGAACTTGGCATAGATGTAGGATATAGTCTGGAAGAACACATACAAATTATTATTTTTTAATTCCGCTCAAAGTCGCGAGCGATAACTAGTGCTCCATAGAGTAGAAAAACAATTTTGTTAAATAAAAACTCCATTGATTTAGAAGACGTTTAAGATTTCTTTAGTTCTAAGTTGTGTGTACAGCGGTGGTCCGATATTCCGTCTGGGCAATGGTCGTGCTGAAGTGTTGGGGGTCATCGTAAGCAACGCTAAGACTCAGACAGGAGCCTGCTACCCCTACATCAACATGGCCGTGCCAGCGCGCGCCTTCCTCAAACTTATCAGGCATTTCATGATTGACAGAGGTCAGTATTATATCCATACATCCATTTCATCATCATCAGCTCACTATACGTCTCCAGTGAGGGACTCGGAGCCTACCCTAAGTTAGTGGTGACTAGGCCATAGTCAACCACGCTGGCCCAGTGCAAGTTGACTTCACACATATCTTTGAATTTTTTCTCAGATATGTGCAGCATCACGATGTTTTCCTTCACAGTAACAACGTTTAATAAATGTACATATGTAAATCGGAGAATCGAAAAACACATTGGTACAAGGCGGGATTCGAACCCAGGACCTGCAGATTGCAAGTCAAGTGCTTGACCACTGAGCCACCGACGCTCAACCATCCATCCATTTACCAGATCCATAATTAGCTACGTTCCTTTGATAATTTTTGTTCCACAGATGAAAAAAAATTACGAGAAATCGAGAGCAATAAAGACATCATTCAGTCGCAATGGCGGTTGTTACCGTATCGTTCCAAAATATGACTTTTAATTAATTTAATTTATAATTAATGTAAATATATGTACCTTTAATTATTGTTAACTATTTTGAGCTATTTGGCTTTTAATAAAGACGTGACATGGAACGTATTAAATCCAATAAACAGGGTTAAAAAATGTTCCTATTGAACTAATCGCATTCATATATATGTATATAATTTTCATACTTTTATTATATATATTTTTTATATATTTTTATACAAGTTTATTATGTAGTCTCGTAGCATTTATTTATAGTTTAGTTGTTAATAAAACATATAATTTAAATTGCGTTTTATTTCGATCTTATTCTTTGAAATCTTAAAAAAAAAACAGTAAAAACCACTTAAAATAATAAAAAAAAACACAAATTATTTATAATCTTTATTAAGTTAATAGATTTTTAAATAATATAAGCATATGTCGAAATTTTTTCATCGATTCTAAAATTACAAAAGTAATTTTCCAACTGACATGTTTATAAACAAAACATGTTTCTTACAAACAATGTTTTACACGTGTTTTTTTACAATTTTACAACTAAATATTAGAATTTTCTGAGCATCAAAGTCCGCAGACTCAAATGTATCACAAAAAAACTATAGTCGTCGCTTAAGGCGGTTCCACATTGTGACGTAAATATTAAAATATAGGAATATACATTTAAATTATGTTAAATCAATCACTTTTATATATCTATTGCCTAAATAATTAACTTTATAGTAAGTTTCAAATACGAATATACACTTTTATCTGCCAAATCTCAAAGAATTGCGTAAACTTTATTTTTTAACAGCGCATTAAATTGCATTCAAAATAAAAATTAATATTTTCACTTAGCAATTTTTATATCATAAAGTTAAAAACAAGCATTACACCTAAATTCGCCGAAATAGCGAATTGACAGATAAATTATGTCGGAGGAGAGAAGGCAAAGGAAGGGGACATAATTCTTTGCGTCCCCTCCTCCGTCACACTTTCCCTTCCCATAAGGAAAGGGTCTTGGGTAACTTAAATTATGCTCTGAATGAGAAACTCTATTTTTTTGTAGAGTTATGATATGGCGGCGGTTGATACATTCTTATTTGAAACGCATTAAAATAATTCTTATTCACAAATATCTTGATATATTAAAAACAAACGCAATAAAACCAGAGTCGCATGAAAACATGAAAAAATTTACGAAGTATTAAACATTTTTATAAATGATACATACGCAAAGTTGCAGAATAAAACTAGTATTTTTTTATAATTACAAACAACACATAGCTGCGTTAGTTTTTCATTCGAACTTCGGTCGTAAAAAAAAACTATGGAAAAATATTTATGTCCGTAATATTCCTAAATCTATGCATATTTAAAACCTTATGTACCTTATAAATAAATTATAATAACTATTTATATATCATAAATGAAGCTTATTTACTAAATTACATAATGTACAAATACAAAAACATAGTTTGCAGGCACTGCGGAACGCCAGGTCTAATTTACTAATTGATCTAGAATGTTCAAACAATATCTAGGATGCGTTAAGTTTCTTCTTATATTTTATCTATTTTTTTTGTTAATGTAATCCATTTCTATAGATATTATAGATCTATTTACTAGATTTGTCTATGTAGTGAATTATTTCATTCATTGTGTCTTAGTCGAAAACAAATTCATCACCGTTGAAAAGCATACAGTAAAACATAGTGTGTACTCTTTTATTATATTCAGATAAAAGGAGACAACGATATATTTGCTATCTTCAAATACGTCAAGTAGGATTATGTACGGATGATTGACGCTAATTCTAATCCTTGTATCTATATCGTAAAATATGTTTGTGCGTATGTTCATGTGGGACGGACAGTTAACATGTTGTTACTAGATTGCGCCCTAAATTAAAACCCACACTTCGTGGTATCAACTGGAGATCTCACCACGACCCCTCTGTTATTAATATTATTGTGTGACACAAGACGATAAAATAAACCCACTTTTATTTCAGCCCTTGCATTTGCTTACTATTAATGTTAGTAACTATCAGTTGTCACTAGATGGCACTGCAACAAAGTTGAAGTTGTCACGAAATGTAACTAGATGGAGCTGTTAGCAATTATAGTTGTCGGTAGTTAAAAATAGATGGCGCAGCAAACAGTGTCGCCAATGATGGCGCGTCAGGCTTGTGGCGGCTCGTCCAGTGGCGAGGCGCGAGGCAGTGAGCAATCGCTGCTGGAGCTACTGGAGCTGCCGGAAGCGGCTGCGGAGGAGGCGGCGGAGGCTGGTGGTGTTGCAGGGGCCGTGGATGTGGAAGAGGCAGAGGGCTCGGCTGTCTCAGAGCTGCCAGACTCTCTGCGTACCAAATTATACATTCTTATTTCCTTCAACTCAGTCTGCCCAAGAAACGAATCAAAATTAAAATATTAAAATTCGGCATGGATTTCGATAAAATTTGGCATAAATGTAGAACATAGTCTGAAAAACCATATAGACTACTAAGTTAACTTTTAATACCGTACGGACGGTGTAGCGGGCAACAGCTTGTATAGAATATTTTTCTTTGACTCCATGTCTTGGTAGGACAATTATTATAAAACTACTAGAATGTAACAGTATATAGAAAGGGTACTAACTTGTGAAATCCGTTGGTCTGGCAGGTATTGTAGGCACCACAGTGCTGGCACTTCAGACCTACCACATGGAACTTCACCGTCGACAGCTGGATCAAACGCAACAATTAGTATGACATTTTTTTTAAATAATGTTTTACATGTATTTAACAAAAATTAATACCATACAAATTTAGGCAGACCCAAAACGAGATGGAAAGATGTAGTAATAAAAGACATGAGTGAGTGCCAAGTCTCAGAAGAGGATGTCATGGACAGAGCGAAGTGGAAGAGACGGATTGGGAAAGCTGACCCCACCACCTTGTGGGATGCAAGCTAGGTAGAGAGAGAGAGAGAGAATACCATACAAATTTAGTTTGTTAGGGTTATCACCTTGTGACAGTCCTTGCAGAGTATAGTTGCCTTGTAGTCCGCGTATTCTGGCGGCATGGGAGTCGCTGCCACCTCAGAGTCCAGGTATGTCCATAGCTAATGCAAAATAAATATACATAATTTATAAAAAAAAAGTAACATTATATACTTAATAATAAATAGTAGTACATAACTAATAATATAAATAAAGAAAAAAGTATGTACTTCCCTTATGAATCCCTAACCAAAAACCAGTTTAAATAGAGCTATAGTCTAGAATTCAATCTATGTGTGTCAGAGGTCACTTACATTGGACATATCAATCATGCTGGTCTGGCACGTGGGGCAGGCATAGTGTCCTGAATGCAGCAGCTGCTCGAAGCAGGGCCGGTGCAGCAAGTGTCCGCAGTCAGGGATGTGGCAGGGGATACGAGACGTGTGAATATCCTCCAGACATACAGGGCAATTTGACCGTGATACATTTTCAACACACTGGAATACAAAGAAATTGTTGCATTCATTCATATAATGAATTACTAACTGTCGCCAGCTCCTCAGTTCGTGCGGAATTTAAAAAAAAACTTAATTAGTAGCATCTATTTTCTTCCAGGCTATTTTCTTTTTATATACCAAATTTTAGCCAGATCCATTTAGCTGTTATACCTCCTAACAAACATCCATCTGTCCACTGTTAAAAGACTTTAATTTTTAAAACCTCCGAAAAGATTAACTCACCAGAGCTCTTAAAAATAAAGTACCACAGTCTTCGACGTGATGAGTTACTAATCCCTACCTTGCCGCACTAACCATGAGGTCATGGTACCTTAAGTCATATAGACCGCTACTATTATTAACAAAAGTCCTTACCCTGTGTCCATCTCTCTGCAGCTGCACCGGTAGACACATGTTGCAGCGCTCGCAATGGAAGAACCGGTCACGACCACCCACTCGGCAGATACCGCATCCTTCGCAGTGGTATTGACGTTTATCCTCATCATCAAATAAGTTGCATATCAAACAAGTATACTGCAAAATAAAAAGATAATTAATTATTTATAATTGTAGAAAACAGATGTTAATCGTTGGAAATAGGTTTACTTTTCATCAGGTAAATGAAAAATTTATTCTCATTGGGTGTTTGAAATCGGACCAATGGGAATATTCCTACGATACTATGGAATCAATCTGTCTACTTATCAATTGAGAACCACCCATCTTATTTAAAATTCTTACTTTATTCTTGTCTTTACAGCGATTTTAACATGAAGCAGATGGTAAGAAAAATTATATGCCAATGTCCATTAAAGAGCAAACAACTAACCTTATTATCAATGTTAAAAATTGCTAATTATTTTGTCTTAATATTATTAATTAAGAGTCATCACTGGAGACATCACTTCAAAACGATACTACAAATCGCACAACACTTCTGCTCATAGTTTGCCAAAAAAAACTGTTCATAGATTAAAAAAAAATCATCTGTCATAGTAATGAACAGCCATACCTTTCCAAACCTGACACCGCAGTTCTCACACTCTGCCTGCACCTTCTGCCTTGTGTCACACTCTGTACAGATGAGCTCCGTCACTGATTTGCGGTTGAAGTAATGCTGCTCCTTCTCATCATGGCAGTATCGGCACATGTAGAACTTGTTGCAGCATGGCGTCTGCAATAACAAGCAGTATACCTTGGTTAACAAAATCCATAACCATACTTGTGCTAAAACTTGAAATTTCCAAATTATTTCTAGTGAGACACTTTTTCTCACATAACTACATTTTCTTTTTTTATATCATAAGGTGGCAAACGAGCAAGCGGCCACCTAAAATCGCTGAAATAGCGACCTTTGCCCACAGATATACGCAATTGCATATGCGTTGCCTACCTTTAATCGACGGAGGAGAAGATGCACAGAAAGAAAATATCTTCCCTTTCCATGCATCCTCTCATCCGGAAAGTCCACTTCCACTTCCCATCCTTTCCTTATTAAGGAAAGGATGGGAAGGGAAAGAAGACTAAATTAGGCCTCCGGGACATAAACTCATCTTTATTTTACAATATGCATTTATGATTTTTGAGACAAAATCTCTGTATAAAACATATCCCTGCCATTATTTTTGACAAAACAGAAATGAATTTTAAACAGATCTCAGAAACCCACAACAAATAGTTTAAAACTCTAGCTAATTACCATTTCATAATAAATTAGTAATACTTAAATATGTTGATTAGATTGTACAATAAACATGATGTGATACCTTATCTAAGAATTATTTGTTACGTGCTTTAATTAAGATCTTATTATTCACAGGGGTGTCATTACGAACCTAAGTGGTCAAGCCTAGAACCTATATTGGACAGCACTTTGTATTAAACTGGGGGGGGGGGCTATGTTCTAAGTTAAAAAAAACATGAATTTAAGATAGTATAAAGGTACATAGATTTACTAATTAATGTTTGATATGCTTTGTTGTGCTAAACAGTAACAAAAAACAACTTTTATAAAAGAACACAGCAGCAATTTACAAATTTGCGATATATGAGACGAAGTCTAGCTTGCCTATTGTTCTATAAATGTATTAACAAAGTGTGTCAAAGATGGATTAATTAAGTTTTACAATTAATCTATAATATTTTGTTATTATTTCTTAGCTTGCCATATTGTGTAACTGACTTATACCACAATATTTGTAATCATATCAAAATAAAGTGTTACAACATATATGGATTCTGTTTAAATTCTTATTGGATTCATAAAAAACTCAATAACAGTAATTTGTTGGTTTTAAAGGCTTATAAGAATCTTGTACAGAACAAACCAATAAATGCCCTAAACACAGTTGAACACAAAATACATGTATGCTATATAAATCACAGAACCCCTGAATACACTTGTTGCAATAACATATGAAATTGGCAAAAATATTGTTTGATATCTGAATTTGTTTTGTGTAAATTGACTCTTGACTTCACAAATGTTATCATTAAACAATCAAGACTTGTTTTACAAATCAGAGACAATATTGTACAGGCATTGCCTGATAAGTAGCTTTTTCCAAACATGCCTCCACTTCTAGGGTGGTTTTCCAAACTTCCAGAACACGTAACGAAAAGCCAAAACTCTGTGTCATCATCTAAAAGTTCGTTGACATGATCTTTGTTTTCTTATTTCGCAGTATCAGATCCAAAAGATTTTACGTCGCCTCGTGTTTAATTATAGATTTGGTTATTTTGAATTGCGCTTTGTCTTTTACTTTGTAAAGTATTAGAATCTTATTGTACTCAATCTACTCACCACAAATTTAGCTCTTCTCTTGTAATGAGTGCAACCAATTCGTTTTTCATTTGTTTGCTCTATGACCGCTGCACAATCACCATTAGTTTCAGCTTTCTCCTTCGACATTTTTATGCACAATAAAAAGCAATCTTCTCAATACAAGTACTAGATTCTTCTTTCAAGGCTAATCAAAGCGAACTACAAGTGAACTCTTTCAATAACCATATTTTATTGGACATCAATTAACAGACAATCGCACACAGAAAATAGTGACAAAAATGACAGCGATCTTTTGACATTGACAATTGCGTGGTATGTTTATGTCAGTTTCAAAGTCCGTTCGTAAACTTGATAAAATAAAGATTTGAAATGTGGATTTTGTTTCGGTCAGTAAAAAGAGAATTTTATCGTCGAAATATCGAATGTTATCGTTGAAAATCCTATCTTGTATGCCAAATATTGCATTTATTTTATTTATAGCTCTATGTCCAGAAAAATAAATCTTAAGGTTGGAAAATGACGTGCAAAAATGTGAAACGGAAACGAATAATCTTGCCAAATGGTTGCAATTTTCTAAAATTGTCAAGTAAAAATCAACACAAATATAGAAATTTGTCAAGTAAAATTTAATATTAAAAATGTAGTTTTAAAACACACTAACTTAGAAAAGTGGTAAATTATGGTACACATAAACGATTTGGCTCTTTTGCTCCTTCTGATTGTTATATGTTTTGTCAAAAATTCACTTTGTTTGTTGCCGCCGGAATTCGAATGGAAAGTTATAGATTTTGCGTGGCAACCCGGTCACAAGGAGGTTGCTATAGCGTCTAACGCCTACATACCCAAAAACAATCTTCCCACTGGGATTGCTAGATGGAGGGATAAGCTGTTTATTACTATACCAAGATGGAAAAGAGGTACTAATCGAAGTGCTTTAATATCTTAATATGAAACTTGTCCTTCTCTTCTCCAAGATACATATATTTCCAATGTATAAATCTAGCTGGAAGACATTGTTCGAGTCATTGATTATTGTTTTTAGGTGTTCCAGCGTCTCTCAACTACGTGTTAGTAAATGGAAGTCACCAGCAGCCGCTGATTCCGTACCCGACGTGGGCCGACGCTTTCGTCCCTGATGGCGCGAAGAGTGTCAGTACCGCGAGTACTGTAGTATCCGCTTTTAGAGTCCACGTTGATAAATGTGACAGGCTTTGGGTAGTTGATAATGGCGCCACTAATATATGCGGTAAGAATTTGGTAGTTACGGTACGGTATCATATTTTTTTTGTATAATGCAGACTAAAAATATTTGACGGACATATTATTTGCTAAAACAGAGAACGTGCGACAGATAGCGCCTCCAGCAATAGTTGTGTTCGATTTAAAACGAGATTCCCTCAAATTCAAGCACTTCTTCAGCGACGACGTGCTGCGGGATTCGACCGTCTTCTCCAGCATTGTTCGTTTTTCTTTCCAATAATTTTTAGATTAAAAACACCAAAGCAACCTAAGGAGCAACGTTAAAATCGTAACTAATAATTCCGAACGAGCTCTAAAGATACAGCGCCATCTATTGGCTGCATTTTAAAGTGATAAAAATAAAAATTTTAAAATGTTAAAATTATCAATTTAAACTGAAATGTTATAACTGTAAACGTTATTGAGAGTGAAAAAAATTACCTTCTCGCGTAAAACATAACCATCTTTTTAATTCAGTAAAACAGAAATGACAATTTTTTTATCGTATGTTTGTGCACTGAAAAATGGCTAGGCTAATGTTTAGATTTGAATTTAGAATTGTTTATATTTTGTAATGGCACAGGCAGTGGACATAGTGGACAACGACTGTCGCAACACGTTCGCGTACGTAGCGGACATGGGTGCGGGCGCGCTGGTCGTGTTCGACCTGCAACACGACATCTCCTGGCGACTGGAACACACGCACTTCCAGTTCCAGCAGAACGCCAGCGAGTTTCATGTCGGTGGTATCGATTTCTTCTGGCATGATGGTGTCTCTTCTCTCGCGCTGTCGCAGACTGCCAGCGATGGGTAATAACATTTACTTGTTACTAATAACGTAAATGCAAAAGTTTCGATGTATGTTTGTTAGAAAGTATCTCCAGAATGGTTCAACGGATTTTGATGAAATTATAGATGTACAAAATGGTCTGTAAGGACACATAGGATAGGTACTTATTTAGTGTTTTTAAATACTGCACGGACGGCAGCTGGTAATGAATACAGCGATAAAATGTGGCATGGACAGTAACTTAACAAATTTTTCCTTCGGCCTATTGACGCAATTTGGATGTATTAAAATAAGTATAGTTCTATTTCACTTCTAATTTACGTTTACCTTATACTTCGTATCTAGGTATCGTGACCTGTATTGTTATCCAACATCGAGTACCAAGATGTTAAAAATATCTACCAAATTGTTGAGAAATGCTCACTTCACACCACAAGACGTACAGCATGGAGTTGAGGTGAGATAATATTTGTTTAAGAAGATAATTATATCCAATTTTTAACTTAATTGAAACGATTTAACATAGAAAATTACAAATAAATGACTAAGTAACTTTGCACCCGTACCTCATGGCACAAAGATGCAGCTCTATGTTAAGTGGAAGGGGTGGGGCGCAGTTACCATTAATATGGTCTTATTCGAAGTTGTTTTTAAAATGTATTTTACATTTTTTAATTCTCTAGCAACGATCACCAGGGTGAGGTCCATGATAGGTTGTGTATTGTTTCAGGTTGTAGGTGAGAAAGGTCCGCAGTCACAGTCAACGGCGTGTGACTACGACCCCAAAAATAATGTGCTGTATTACACTGAGGTATAGAGTTTCAATGTTTTTGACGGTTGACCTTGAACTGCGCAGTAACTTGTGCGATGTTCAGAGTCGTCAACATGTTTGAAAAATACTTTAAGTAATTTCTTCTGTATTATTTTTATATGTCTGGTATTTAGAAGGGTTTTTCCTGTACAGCTTAGTAAAAACGGCGTGGGCTGCTGGAACTTGGACCGGCCGTTCAATCCTGAAAATACGCAGCTCCTCATCAGCGATTGTGTTGCACTTGAATATCCCAATGATATCAAGGTAGACTATCTCTAAACAGAGATTATGAAATTTTCTTCTACGCAGACACTTTTCAACATTTATTTTAAAGTTTAAGGTGGCAAGGAAACAAGTGGCCTCTTGAAATTGCCGAAATAGCGACTGAGGATATCCGTAATAGAAGATGTGTTGCCTTATTAACTTACAGAGAATGGGACAGACGGAAACCTTTTCCTATCCGTCCTCTCCTCAGTGAAATCCACTTCCCCTTCCCATCCTCCCCTTACATGAAAAGGGTGGGAAGTCCTTCAGGGACTATAGTGAATACGCACACTCAACAGACGAACTTCTGTCTTTTGTGTGATGTCGGTAAACTGCCACTAAATTTTTCTACAACTTGACAACCGTTTTCCTCAATCGTACGGACCTTAAGGAGACTTAGTAAATTACCTTTTTATATGAGTGTGATTTTATGTCCAGATGGATTTGGACGGCAACGTGTGGATACTGTCTGACCGTCAGGCGCGTTTCCTCTATGACAAGATGGACTTCAACCAGACCAACTTCCGCGTGCTATGCGCGGAGTCGACGGCGCTTATACAAGGCACGCGCTGTCAGCTGTCAATCATAGAACGCGCTATTGCTTATATAAAGAAGTGACTATATGAACTCAATTATATACTTCTCTTGCTACTTATATGTTTGATGTTCCATTGTCTTATGTGTTATATAGAAAGCTTAATGTAATATTGTTCAAGGTCATTAAAGCATTTGGACTTTTGGGATTGTGTATTCTTGATACTGTGAAATTGTGAGCTTTATTTTTTAAAGATTCCGATCTTTTGACTTAATATATGTAATCAATATAAATGGTGTTGCATGTAAAAATTATTGTTAAAACTTTTTTTTTTTCGTAAAACGTGTTTTTTACCTTTTTGTTTTACTTGAATGTAGTTGCTGGCAATAATAAAAAAAACTATAAAATAATTTAAATATTTATTTAAATATACAACATTGTAATTATAACTATATGAATTATAATCTATGTGATGGGAGAATAATTCAACATCGCGTCCACACACACCGAGTCTTTGCCGCTTCAGTCTTTACCAGCGCGCCATCACCCCGTATCTATTTCCATCAGAAACTTCTAATACAATAATACATAATTCGTTATATTCTGTTTTAACCACTGATTTATAAATGGATAGGCTATTACTTGGAAATTATAGCATTACTTTCGTTCCGATTTAATCGCGCCTACGGGGCTAAACAAAATGCATTCGCTAGCGATTCCATAATTTCAAAAATGTACATAACTGACAATAACTTTGGATAAGTCACCTGATTATCGCGCGTTAGTTTCATACATTTTTGAAATTTTTAATAGAATCATTTCGGAGTGAATGCACTTTTACTAGTGCCGCTGTTGATATTACGTGATAGTTAATTCTATCTAAATTATTAGTTCGTATCCATACCATAGCTATAAAACGCTACCATCAGCGCCAAATGGCGAATATCAAATAGGCACAAGAACCACGTCTTATAGCCTGTCCATTTATAGAGGTCAGTGTATGCTACATTGTTGCTATCCCTCTTACTCCCGTTGAAAAAAAAAGAGAACAATAATGTTCTTATACAAACACATGCCCGTTGTAATTAACGTTATAATTTGAAAGCAATTTTCAACTTTAATGTTCAGACAGGAAAGACTATTTTTCATTGAAAACAATGTAATAGAAATAAAATATGATATGTCAGTATTATTCAAAATACATCGAAGATGAAATATTAGCATAATTTGACTACAACAAATTTTACATCAGTTTCCATTGTCGAAACACGTTGTACCAAACACAACTCAATTTTATGGATGACGTCATTTATATACCAATATTTCGTTTGTACACGGAATTACATTTGGAACTAAACTCAAGCAGCCAACATAAAAGGAATAAAAAAAGTCCTACAAAAAAAATATTTACGTAAAAAAAAACATGTAAAACTCATTTTTACAATTTACATTTATTTTTAATCTGTGGATTTAACTACTGCAGATATCGCCATCCCTTTCATTCTGTATTAATAAAAAAGAGATAGCAATAATTGTCTACGTCACATCATTTGTAACCCATAGTAACAGTAATACGTAAATATTTGAACAAATAATTTACATTGAGTGACGTCACAACTCATTCAAATAACACGCGGTGTTTTTTGCTAGATGTACAAACTTAAAAACTCATTTTTATATATATAGATGGCGGTTTTTACATAATTAAATTAATAAATAGAATATTTTCATTCCAATTTGACTTAATTTAACAATTTAATAACAAACTTAGCCAAGGGTCTAAAAAAATTGTAAGTTGTCAATTTTTTTTTATAATTTGCCTTATAAAGTCTTTTTTTTTAAATAATTTGGTTAATACAGATGTATAGAGATGATAAATAATTAATTATCTTCAAATATTAATAAATTATTTCACAATGTTCAAGTAAGTGAAATGAATGAAATGAGAATGTCGTTGGTTTTTTATACAAGCTTTATCTCTCAGTTAATATCATCATCATCAGCTCACTATGCATCCCCACCGAGGGGCTCGGAGCCTACCCTAAGTTAGGGGTGACTAGGCCAAAGTCAACCACGCTGGCCCAGTGTTGGTTGAGGTTCCACATATCTTTGAATTTCTTCTCAGATATGTACAGGTTGCATCACGATGTTTTCCTTCACCGTAACAACGTTTGATAAATGTACATATGTAAATCGGAAATCGAAAAACACTTACATGGCGGGATTCGAACCCAGGACCTGCAGATTACAAGTCCAGTGTTGACTTGTGTTGTGTTTACTTAAACATTGTGAGCAACAAAGTTTTAGCTATAAGAAATTTATATTTACGGAGATTTTAATGACTATAAATATTTGCTTATTGAAATTTATCCTAAATTATTTATAATTTGACTGAAATAGGCTATCAATTTAAATAACTAAACTTCATAGATGGTCCTTCGAGTCGGATTTCATTGGAACTGGCGATTTTAATATAAAATTACAAAAAAAAATAGCATAAATATAATAAAAGATGAGTCTTTTTCAATTACTAAGGTAAAAATAACCGTGCCTAGGTATTTACAATATAAATTCATTAATTTTGAAATAATTGGATTGTCAATAATTTATAGATTTTTCATATATTATTTTATAGTAGTAAAAGCATAATTTTACAACAAACAAATGATAATGCGAAATTCAAACGTATGTGTAATAACGATTTTTCGTTTTTTTTCTATCTTGTCAATTTTAGTATGTCATTGCCAAATTAAGCCAGCAAAGTGATTTATATTAAAAGCGTGTATATTTCTGTATGTGCGTTTTTATTTGACATCCGATTAATTTACTATTCAATGGATTTATTTACAATTTTCTTGCTTTAATTTACAATAGGCCAATGTCAAACGTAACAATCTATTCTTATGGGTATCATAATTTTTTTTTACACAAGTAAACGCGATTCACACATTTATTACTATAGTATTAAGATTGGAATTTACCTAAAGTAGATATATAGAGCGCGACAACTATTTTATAGCGTCGCTAGATGATTGAGTATGCTCATTTAAAAAAATAAATAAAATCGAAATTCATACGTGTAACGAAACGTTATAACAATGACAGCTGTCAATGGTAACTGTCACTTTTCCCGCCAAAAGTTATGAAAGTTAAATTGTTTGGTGTATTAATTACTAATTTATGGGGTATGAGTTTACATATATAATTTAGTAATAAGAAAAATTTAGAACGAGTTTCGTAGCTTTTGATTGAAAAGCTCGGTTTAGGGTAAAAAATATGAACATTTAATGAGCACATTCAAACATACCATATCCAAATCTATACAATCTACGGCAGAGGTTCGTAAGCGTTAACGTTGGTGCGTCAATCGTAGACTATTCAATAAGACAGATAAATCTATGGCGTAGTAAATTCTACCTTATTCTCAATGTAATAGAGTCGATTGGTCCATTATCTGGCGTCGGTGTTGGGTTTGCGCTGCGGCGTGCCGGTAGCGGACTCTAGGCGCTTGCTGAGCGGCGTGTTGTACTCCCACCCCTCTTCTTTTGGACTGAATAACTGGAACAAGAGGTAAAACATTTTATTTGTGCCTATTGCAGAAATTTTATAAAGCGACATACCATGCGAGTTCCACGCAAAGATACCAATTCGTATTGACCAAAGTAATTAATTTGTAGTTTTTACAATACTTACCTATTCTAATTTATCTGTGAAATAATGAATTGGGCATTTCCTACACGAGGCAATGTAAATCGTAGAAACTAATATTGTATGGTTGCGATTTGAGAATTGACATTAAATTGTCAACCCGAGTAGTCTATTCGGTGAGTAGAGGCATAGCGACTACATAACCACTGTGTAGATTTGCTCCGCCATCTTGAAAATTACAGTGACATTTTTTACAACGATCTAGACCAGTCTTTCCCAAAGTGGGCGATAACGCCCGCTTGTGGGCGCTGCAGGTCTCAAGTTGCGGGTTATAGTAAAAGTTTCGTTTAGAATTCTCCGTTAATATACATATATAGGTCACAATAATTAATTAATTTAATTTGAAGTTATAGTGTCTTTTAAATATGTGAAAATATGGGGGCGCTAAAGAAATATTTATTCTCAAAGTAGGCAGTAGACTAAATAAGTTTGGGAACCACTGGTCTATGAAATTGTACAGGGCAAGCTTAGCGACGATAGACCTAGGGGATGTATGACGGGCATCGGACGAGAGCGAAAGCGTGCCCGTGGTCCCGTCCCGATGCGTTGGAGGAACAGAGAGGTTTAGTGGGTATGCCTCCGCTATGGAGGAGAATCCCACAATACTACCGCGTCCCCCCCCCCCCGGGGCGCGGAGTATGCATAAAGCATTCCTCTCTGAAAAAAAAAACCAGCAGTATGAGTGTCAGGGTGTGCGTACCTGCGTGATCCACTTGTCGCCGGTATCGTGTCGCGTCTTGGCGAGGTCGCGCTGCGCCTGCTCGAGGCGGCGCTTGGCGGCGGTGGCGGCGTCAGTGTCGGCGGCGCGCAGTGCGGCAGTCACGTGCCGCCACACGCGCCGCGACTCGTGCGCCATCTGACGCGACACCGGCGACACGCGCTTACGTCGCGCCTTCATACTCGACACCTCGAACACTACTTCTGTACGCTGCAATATTATATTAATAATAATAACATAAATCTTTTACAGTTAAGTTCACTTGTACATCACTGTATTTCTATGTAATGTTACACTATGTACTTTAAATTATGTACAAAGCTTAAATAAATAAATATTAAGCCGATTCCCACTTTTAGGTATACAAACTTAAAAAGTTTTTAATTAATGTATTGAATTGGATTTCTTCATATTGACAATAAGTACACCATGAAAAATGCAGGCCGTAAGGGTTTTAAGAGTAGAATATAGAACGTTATATTTAATCCAAAATGGCCGCCATTAAAACAACCTCCCCAAAATAGGTATCAAACGAAAGGGATTGACTGGTAGAATACAGTATACTTTGAAAAGTCCAAAACAGCCGCTGCCACAATAGCTTTGTATATTTTTATTGTTTTACATTCGTATGTATATACATAAGATATGGTTTAAAACACAGTTTAAACCTAGCTAAGTTTAATTTGTTATAATTAAGTATCCACTTACCCCAGAGTCAGTCCACCGTCCGTCCATCCTGGTGTTCCACTCGCCCTGTGCGGTGTAGTAAGGTTTCTTCTCATTAGCAGCGAACACTTCGCAAGTGACACGATGCTTCTTGCCACCGTAGAATGGTTTTGTAAGAAATTCAATATTTGCTTTGTGTCCTGTTTGCGGACATTCGATGCACACTGATCCACCTAATTCGATCCATGGGACTGTGAGAATTGATCTGGAATATAAAATGTATGGATTTCGATGATGATTTTTTTACAGTTGAATGATAAGATATACGTTCATAATAAAAAAAAACCCTCGTTTTAATAGTATAGTGCTCGATTTTACTAAGATTAAAAAGTCTGCTCTGCTGACCGACCGGTCTGTCTAAACGGAGCCTAACGCCTAACGACCCCTAACTTGGGAAGGTCACTTGGGTAAGTTAGAACCTTTCGGTGGAAACGAGGGTTCCGTCCAATTGAATTAATTAGAAATAAATTTCCTTACCTTCCATATCCATTAGGGAAGGTGACAGTATACTCTTCTCCATGATCCAACAGCGTGACAACACCACGTCCGATATTATGGACACCAATAGAGAGGCCTAGGAACTTGCTCTTTGTCCACACCCAGGCGTCGAACTGTATCCTCTTGTTGACGTGCTCCGCGTAGAACGCGCTGATCGGCGGGTGATGGGACACCTGCTCGGCAACAAACGACAGCTGCTCCGGGGAACACCAGGGTACGGGACCGTCGCCAACTTCTAGCTGAAAATTTTAAATAAAAACAACACCGTAACTAAAGAAGTCTTCCATTTGCAGACGGTCTGATATATCCATTCGATCCTAACCCATTTCTGTAAACCCACTCCATTATTTTTCAAACTTGTAAACTGGTCCAGTATTCTCGCTTTCGTACCAGCTTACCAGGTCTTTCGAGAAATCTTAAGGGAGACCTGGTCCCGGAACACTAGTCTCAGTGATTCCCAAAGTTGGCATTAGGATAGGGCGCGGTTGGGCGACCGCCCAGGGCGTTAGACAGAAATAAGTGCCTTGAGACTTTGAATTACAGTATCCTGTAAACCTCTTAAACCCTCATGGCATGTAAAAAAAAGGAAGCATCATAAAAATCTCGCTAAGGGTAACACTAAAATAAGCATTGACTGGTCTAGTCTTATATTAGTATGTTACCTTCTCAGTCGAGGAGTTGTGTGAGTCATTAGCTCCATCAAGATCCCAGTGGCAGCGGAAGACTTCCCCCAGTACTGGATTGTAGGGCTTCTTGGCGACCTGAGACTTGCGTCCCGCGTGGTACGAGCTGAGGTACCACCTCACCACTTGGACCATACGCTCTTTGGATGTCGGCATGTCCACTATTCTAGAAATATAAAAAATGTCGTTTGCAGTCTGATAAATGGATAGGCAATTGCTTCGAAATTAGAGTTTTTGCTTCGCGCCCGTTGACAGTCATTTCTAATTATATTATTGGTCCAAATCTACAAATCTGCAAACCGCTACTATCAGCGTCGAATTGGCGAAAGCGAAATAGGCACAAAATACTAGGTCCTATAGCCAGTCCGTTTATAGTCCGTGTTTGGAGCACTTGCCGCATGAACAGTTTTTATTAAGAATAAATAAATTTCCATACTGTCACAAGACGCACAAGAGATTAAAACCATTACCGTTTTATGGAAAACGGGCAACGAACCACATCATCATCATCAGCTCACTATACGTCCCCACCGAGGGGCTCAGAACCTACCCTAAGTTAAGAGTGATTAGGCCATAGTCAACAACGCTGGCCCAGTGCGGGTTGGTTGACTTCACACATATCTTTGAATTACTTCTCAGATATGGAACAAACAAACCACACTCACCTTAAAAATGTTTGAATCAAGTGATTTATTACCGCGATTTTGATAAGTTACAAAAAAAAAATAATAACTTAAAAACTAGTTTGACCCGAAATAGTACTTAACTACTCTCTGTTTGCTTCAAAATATGTTATTATACAAGTGTTTATAACAATGAAAACTGACAGATATTGTGTATACTAACTTGACAAACTGATCGGGATGCGCAAACGAGTCCGCATACATCTCGAGTAGTGATCTCCGCTCCAATATGAACGTAGGAAGAACCACCTGAAACAGACACCAGAATAGTTTTATACTTAGTGTTGCTGATACAAACGGAACTTTTTATACTTTTTTACTTATAATTTTTATGTCAAATTATTCAAACTTTCGTGAAACATTATACAAAAATGATATATAAACACGGCTAAACACTCACGTATATTCGTCCGGTGGCGGCACCGACTAGTTTCGAGCCCGTCGCGACGGGCCGCGTCCGCGAAATAATACCAGTACCACTCATCCTGATGAAGGGCCCCCGATGGGCTCGAAACTAGTCGGTGCTGCCACCGGACGTATATACGTGAGTGTTTAGACGTGTTTAGTAGTAGCCGTTATATATCAGTTTATTTTTTTGTCGTATTGTACGGATCTGAATGTATTGCCACCAAGGTTTCGGATGAAAGAAGACTGCATGTAGTTGAAATGCGTATGCAAAGATAGATGTGTGGTGTGACAAGAAACGATAAAGTTAAAAATGTGTATGTCAGAGGAAGTTTGAAAGTAGCCCCAGTGATCGTGAAATTTAGGAGTAAAAGATTAGCGTGGTTTGGACATGTTATGCGGAGGGATGATGATGACATAAAAGTAATGAGATTGAATGTGGACGACTACAAAGGTAGAGGAAGACCAAAAAAAGTATGGAATGACTGTGTGAAAGAGGATATGACGGCTGATAGAGATGTATGGAGGAGTAGTACATACTGTGCCGACCCTCGATAGGGATAAGGGCAGGTTGATGACTTATAATTTTTATATTTTCAAACTTCAAATGATTTTTTTTCCTTTTTATAATATGAAAATGTACAATTGTAAAGAAATCTTCCAATAGTGTGTGCCAATACTTGTGTTTTCCTCCGTTTTATAATATTTTCACATTTAATTTTTGAACTTTGTTATTTTATTTTCCAAATTTTACTTAAATTCTTATAACTTTACGTTAAATCGTCTTTATTATGATTGAACATTACTAAAATAGAGTACGGAACTGTTACCCCATGTGTACCTTTTATAAAAACGCTGCACTGACCTAGAGTCCGTTTATAAATCTTACTAATATTATAAATGCGAATGTTTAGATGGATGGATGTGTGTTTAAAGGTATCTCCAGAACTACTGAACGGATCTCGATGAAACTTGGCATTGATGTAGAATATATTCTGGAAGAACACATAGGCTACTAATTTATCGGACGGAGTCGTGGGCGACAGCAAGTCACTAATAAACAATACCATGAATGTATTATACATTTCATACTACGCTAAGGGGCTCGAGTAAATGATTCCGAGTCTGGGACTAGGAAGTAAATGTAAAAAGAGTGTGACCAAGACTTTGCTAAATTCGATATATCGTTAAAAAAAAATTGCATAGTTATTTGTCGTTATAAGATTTTTTATATCATGTATTCATTCCTTATGTTTAAAATATTTCTACGTTATTGTTAGCGTTCTCCGAAATGGGGAAGTTTAGCTTTATTGTTTGCAATTGCAACGGGAAGGGATTGAAATTATTCTCCTACGTAATATCCGTTCCAATACAATGTTACATCAAGGTTAAATTTACTATTTACTTTACTTATATACTTAGAAAATTTATAAATAGGTAAAATGTTATTATTACAATGTAAAAAAATTTCCTTGACATATGTAAAGAAGTTTTTCAAGTAAACTTTTATATAATTTGATATTCTTATAAACAAAAAAGAAATCTTTAAGAAACAATTCGATATAAAAACTCACATCATGAATATTAGAGTAAGTTTACACTGAAATAAATATCATGTTATGTTGTGTCGTGTTGGGTTTCGTGATGTGGGTCCATTTGGCGCAGTCCTAGCACACCTCTCGGTTCTTACACATTCATACATCTACGCATACCATCCCACTGAGGGGCTTCGAGCCTATCCTATGTTAGGGGTAACTAGGCCATAGTCAACCACACTAGCCCAGTGCGGATTGACTCGACACATATCTTTGAATTTCTTCGCAGATATGTGCATCGCGATTTTGTCTATCACCGCAAGAAAGTCGGATAAATGCACATATTTAAATCGAAAAATATATTGATACACGTCGGGATTCCAACACAGGACCTGCAGATTACAAGTCAAGGGCTTAACCCCTGAGCCATAATCACTCGGTGTCGGCTCGGACGTCACTCGACGCTCTTCTGGTAGCATAGATGTTTTAATACATGTGTTTCGGAAATGGAAACTCGTAGTTACACAGTTCGGAGTATTTTCGACGGATGCGTACCTTGGTAAGGTCCATGCCAATCTTGACCTGTGAGAGGAGGTGCGTCACGACGGAACCATGGTTCTCCATCGAGCCCAGGTCGCTGTCCGACTCGTCTTCGTACAGCGCTGCAACAGACGAGCCTACAGTTTACATCTACATACATTAATCCATAATTTTACTAGTCTTACTTCTTACTAATATCATAAATGCGAATGATGGATGGATGGATGTTTGTTAGAAGGTATCTTCGGAACGGCTCAACGGTTCTCGATGAAATTTGGCACAGAACTGTCCGGAAGAATACTCACAATCACGGGCGACAGCTAGTTATAAATAATGAAACAAAATACGAAATTATATCAAAAAAATATTTTAAAGTAAACATTCAAGAATGCATCGTTACAACATAACCAATAAGAAACAACATGCAACAAATAACATAAAAAGAGTTTTTTAATTCGACAACATGATGTATCAGACGATAAATCGAAAGATTTCTCCGAAGACCGCTTGCAAGGAAACGGATCATTGTAAAATGTTTCTTATTTCCGTTAAGTAAGCGTCAGTTTCCTGTTACAAGTTTGTTATGACTCATGAACTTTAGTGCTGTTTACGAAAACATTATGAAAACTCATATACAATCATGCCGAGAGTTTGCAAACCGTCTTATGCATGAATGTTTTATATTAAGAAAGGAAAAATTAACCATATCGAGGTAAAAAGGAATAAAACAGTTGCAATTCGAATTATCCAATTCTTAACAAGGCATGAAGTATTTCTCCTTTTTCTCGTTGAAAAAAGAGATCCCACGTTTGAGAAAAAAAGAGTGAAGAGACTCCAAAGAGAGATCATATTTTTTCTACCTACATATTTTTCGACAATGGAACCACGGCTAGCAAAAATATATAGTTACTGGAGTCATCACCCCTAATCTTCTATACATATAAAAATCAATTGCTGTTCGTTAGTATCGCTAAAACTCGAGAACGGCTGAACGGATTTATCTTATCTTGGTCTTGAAATATTTATGTAGGTCTAGGGAAGGTTTGAAAGGTGAGAAAAATTTAATGATTGCCGGGAACTAATTAAGTTCTTTTCATTCCACGCGGACGGAGTCGCGGGCGACAGCTAGTCGCACATAAAAAGCACACATCCGGATCATAATTAAGTGTGCAAAACATGTATTATTCGAAAAAACAAACATTAAATATAGCTTTGTATCATTCTAATAGTGACAATGACTTTGGAATCTAAGCTAACCGTGAGTTTCTGATACCAAAATCTCTCAAATCATATAGTCATCTCTATCGTTATCTTTGAGAAAACGGAGATTTAGGCCTCAGAAACCTACGGTCAGATTATAATCCAGTACCAAAATATAAATCAAATTGTATCATTAACATATAATACAATGTTGGAGCACATAGCATGCGTCACTATTAGAGGAAACTGGTTACAAACGGCCGGCCAGTTGATTGGCGGCTATTGCTAGCCCCTAGGGTTGTCGACGACTTGCTAAATAATTTAAATAAATATGAAATATTTGAATAGGCGTCGTTACTAAAAACGGCTTAAATCACATATGATCCCGAGAATTGCCTTGATGATGGACACCCTACGGGATCGTAAACTAGTCAGTGCCGTCACTAAAGGATTATATGTAAGTTAAGCCGTTCGAAAGTTTAAACAATTTAAAAATGTTAAAAATATTTACTGCAAACCTTACTTTAGAATTCCTATTGAAATATTAACCGTGGTATTCCACTGATGAATAATTTGTAAACATATAGTTATTGTTTTAGGGCAATATTTATTTCTATACAAGTATTTCACCAATGGAAACTTAAGTTCATATTCCTTTACTAAATTGGTGCTGCCCCTATTATATCTCAATCGGGTTACGACGACGCTTCTTTTGTCCGTCTAATTCTAGCACGTGATTAGAATTAGCTCTTTGATACACCACAGTACTGGTACGTGGGCTGAACTTTTATTATGTGACGTCATATATATTACGTCATCACAGGTTACTACGACAATTATTGAAGGTTATGAAGTTCTTAATTCAAATTTCACGTAACGGTGACATTTTTATAAAATTTATCCAAGTAAATAGAAAACTAGGAAGTTTTATATCTTACCGTCGTAGTCAATTTCTCCGTCATTGGTGCGCGGCAGGTCTGCGGCGGCGGGGGCGGGAGGCGTCTCCTGCTCCGCGGCGCCCTCTGCCTGGCAACTGCGTGACACGCTGCAACAACACAATACGTCAACAAACTTTCTAAAATGGTTACAATGCCATCTAACTTTTTGTATACTCCTTAATCCAATTCCCTATATTATCAAGATGTAAAAGGATACAGGAGTGGGTAACATGGGGTACACCAGTAACGGGCCTATAATATCCGCCTTAGCAGATTTACCGACGACGTACAGCCATTAAAGTGAATTGAAAATTTGCTATGTACAGAAGTGATCTGTCGATTGCAAAGGACGCTATCAATTTTGTGCAAAATTCCCAGACGCAGTTAACACAATGCGCAACAATTGCCAATAGCCAGGCAACCGTTACACTACAATTAAATGGAAAACGGTCAACTCAAGTTCTGATGATAAGTATACATTGAATTATATATTTTTTACACAGAAGGTCGAAATACTGAATAACGGTCTATTTTCCAACTGAATTGTACTGCAACAATTTTAGATAAAAATAACTCTTTTAACAAAGAAACTGTATACTAAATTATGTCTACAATAACACGATTGGAGCTCTCTCTCAGATTAACTGCATTGTTTTCTTTATATCATAAGGTGGCAAACGAGCGAGCGGCCACCTGAAATCGCTGAAATAGCCAAGTGACCGTAGCCCATAGACATACGCAATTGCATATGCGTTGCCTACCTTTAATCGAAGGAGGAGAGAATGCACCGAAAGAAAATATCTTCCCTTTCCATGCATCCTCTCATCCGGAAAGTTTACTTCTACTTCCCATCCTTTCCTTATAAGAAAAAGGGTGGGAAGGGAAAGAGGACTAAATAACGCCTCCGGGACGCACACTGATCAGACGAAACGCGGAATTATAATATAATAATAAAAAAAAATATTATTATTAATTGCTTCTACTTGACGCCTGTCTTCTGTGTGGTCGTGGTATTTCATCGGGCGAGCCGGGCCAATTCGTGCGAAGATGTTAAAGCGGGCTCTACCACTGTTACAATTGTAAAACAGAAATTCCACTGCCGCGTTTCGCCAGTGGAAATCCACACTAAGAATAGACGATCGATATTGTAGCGAGCCATTATCACAATAGCGTAAGTGAAATTAGGTTTATAGCGTGCATAGAGCGCGACCGTTGCTTCGCATTTCGCATTATAACAGACATATTTATTGACGTGGACAATAAATACTTTCACATTACACTTGGCTATAGATTTGATAAGAATTACCTGATATATTATAATGTGTAAGATTGCCTATTTTGTACCTTAAATTTAATGGGTTATTACATGAATGATCAACTGTTTTGTCTATTTATAATATGCTTGTAAAAATATTAAATTTTGTTTTTCAAGCAGTTTAATATTAGTTGTATTCTTGGACTTGGACGTGTTAGGGTTTGAACAGACTTTATTAGGAGATAAAATATACATTGGTTACAAGAATTTCCCTACTATACTCTAGATTTTGAGCTTACTATTTGAGTATTGTAGATTCGAGTATTATAATATTAAGCCAAATGACGAATTACTTGACAACTACGCCTAGCATTTATTTAGAAAGGCCCAACTACATTATCTAAGTTTACATTAAAGTCTAGCACTAAATAATTTGGCACACTTCCACTTTACAACCGTAAAACTATGAGTACCAAGACAAAAAGTTATCCGCCACAAAAAATATGCGATTGTTGTTTTTTTTTATCCCACAAACAAAGCATTTAAATTGTAACAAAATCCTTTATCTGATAGAACTTTAGTACCCACAATGGTGACCTTAGTAACGACCTTGCGTAACACGCATTTCTCACCTTGACACTTTCGAGGGGTCAAAATCATTAAATGTAACAAGGACTGAATTCGGTAGAACTACGAGTATTCTAATAGGGGTTATATAGCAAACTGTGTTTGTGATCGTCAAAGTCAGGAAATATTACGTAAGAATTAATTAAAAGCAATTTTAAGAGCGTCGGTGGCTCATGGGTTTATGCACTTGACTTGTAATCTGCAGGTCCTGGGTTCGAATCCCGCCATGCACCAATGTGTTTTTAGATTTTCGATTTACATATGTACATTTATCCGACGTTCTTATGGTGAAGGAAACATCGTGATGCAACCTGCACATATCTGTAAAGAAAATTCTAAGATATGTGTGAAGTCAACCAACCCGCACTTGGCCAGCGTGGTTGACTATGGCCTAGTCACACCTAACTTAGGGTAGGCTCCGACCCCTCGGTCTGGACGTATAGTGAGCTGATGATAATGATGAATTTATCACGTCTAATTGTAGAAATAAAGAATTATGATACTAGTAGAAAGTGATTTTATAAGCTAGTTTGAGTGAAAAGACCTCGTTCTTTCACTTAAAGATGGCAATAAGAAGATAGTTGGTTTAATGATTACGTACAAATACAATCAAATCAAATTTTCTAGAAATTACGACTACGACAAATATAAAAAAGTTAATTATTTTCGTTAAATAAAACTTAAAGCTTACATTAAGGTTACTATTAGATATATTTTAAACGGGTTCATTGGCAGTATCGTGTGAAGCCTTAACAATTGGTAACCTAACACGATTCCCTTTATTACATGCCTTCCTACAAGTGAGCTTTCATTAAAAGCGATGTAACACTATCCATAAATCCATCTATCGAAATACACATTTATGGATAGTGTTATATAGAATTGAAATTTGAAATTACATATTAGGATTTATTTTAAAGCTTAAACACTATACAATTGAGGACATTTATAGCCAACCCATTTTGAACCAGAGTGGATTTCCGACCTGTTTGCTCCGAATGTAATTAGGTCAAAAACTTGTACATAAATACGCATTAAATTAAAGCTCTTATGATGCGACGTTGCAGATATATGAAGTAGAAGCGAATTTAATTATTTAATACTGCTACAATGTAACACAAAAACATAGTCAAATTTTTACTAGCTTTATGTTGGAGTTAACAATTTGTAAAATCCTTCGAATTACTATAGTGCGTCTACTTAAGATAGATTAGTTTGACTATTCACTAGGGATGGGTTAAGTAAAATCGGTTTTCAAAATGTTCGATCTTCGATGGTTGTTCTCGTAAAACTTGCAATGGAAAATTTTGTGATTATTGTTTTTTAAAATTATATTTTATAAAATAAAATTGTTTCATTTTGTGCTAACTTTATTCCTAAAAACTAAATAGAAAAATAAAATATTAAACCACAAATTGAGATGTTGACAAAGAAAACAAATGTTTTAATCTTTTTTTTAGTTAATTCCGCGAGACATAGACAAAAATATATGTAATAAATTCAATAAGTAATAAAATACCTACGTAATAGTCTTTATTTCTTCGATTCATATTATTGCAAGACCGATTCTCGATAGTTCATAGTCGATAATGCACGTACCAACACTATGACAACGGTCCATTAAGTACAACATGAATCCTCATACAAAATTAATTCGATACCTATTAGGCGTCAGTTGTCAAACTTATCTATTTCCGACACACTATATTGATAAATTTTCGAATATATTGAACGCATTTTAAACCTTAAAACGCTCGCCAGTTGCAAGTCCAGGTTCGTAACAGTTGCCAGTACGTCGGGGACATTGTCAGGGTCGGCGGCAGCTATCGATTACTCGACATTGCCATTGAGCTTTTTGTTGATGACAGTAACAGCTGTTAACAACTGCAAACTTGACAATTATTACTCTATTTCAAAACAGCTATTGTTTTTAACACTTTATTCCATTGTGCAATAAGAGCTAAATAAAATTAAACGTAGGTTTTGCAATTTCTTTCTTATTACTTGTATTAAATCCGTACTTCCGAAACTTCAGGAAATAAAAACATTGGTTTGTAAACTTAAAAGGAATTTATGTGCATAAGTGTCGCCCGCGACTCTGTCTGCGTAAAAATTAAAATAAAAACGAAATTATCAGCATAATTGTTCTTTCAGGCTATGTTCTACATCTATGTCAAATATAAGAGAGATCCATTTAGCCGTTATGGATATATCTTCTAACAAATACCCATGTATCCATCCAACCGAACATTCGCATTTTTAATATTAAGTAAGATAGTCCAATACCCGTTAGCAACTTATGTTTTGCCTAAGGTACACAGAAGAAGTAGGAGGCCTAATTTAGTCCTCTTTCCCTTCCCACTTTTTTTCTTATAAGGAAAAGATGGGAAGTGGAAGTGGACTTTCCGGATGAGAGGATGCATGGAAAGGGAATATATTTTCTTTCTGTGCATCCTCTCCTCCGTCGATTAAAGGTAGGCTACGCATATGCAATTGTGTATGTCTATGGGCAACGGTCACTTCGCTATTTCAGCGATTTCAGGTGGCCGCTCGCTCGTTTGCCACCTTATGATATAAAAAAAAGTAGTATTACTTTATATCGTAATGGACGTGTAAAATTTTTTTAGACTCGATGACATGTGACCATAAGATCGGTTTAGACTGAAGACTGCGCTTAGATGTCTTCCAAGACGCCGAACACCCAGTCATGTTTCTGAAGGTAAGTATATAGCGGTAATCTTAAAGATAATTAAATAACAACAACTTAAATATAATGGAATTACTACACTTCATTGAAATATCGATTAAAAAAATACTAAATTACTACACGTAAGGGTTATTGTAAAATCATATTACTACAGGTAAGAGTAGCATCAAAAGGGCCTTTGTAATTGATTCAAGCGTTAAGAGACTTAACATATTTAGGCATTAGGATTAGGATTCCAAATCCTTTGACGCGAATGCCGCGCTTTCGTTACCAAGTCTAGTGTCAGAATGATTAGTGAGGGGACATAAACGTTGATATTTTAATAAGGCTAGTGTTGGGCCAATACACCGGCACAGTGTCGGATTTTCTTCCTAACAATATACATAAATCATTATTCTCATAAGAAACAATTACGATGCATACCCTATAATCTTTATAATTTCGCCAACGAAATTACGATTTTCCCTCTAGATAAATTTAATATTGAGAACGTGAATTAATATTTAAACATTCATGTC